CTTCTCTTCTTCTCCTTCTATCAAGGGCACCTTCCGGAGGTCTTCAACCGACCGTTCCGCTGGGTCTACCCGGGGGTCATCCATCCCCGGACGCCCGGACTGTAATTGCTATTTTTCTATGATCTCTTCCGGTGCTCGCCCCTTCTCCTGGCCGGACGCTCCGGCTCGGACGGCCGAATAAAAACAGTTCTTCGCAGACGCTTGATCTCCCCGGATCTCCATGACGCCCTCTGGCGTGGCGAACTTCAACTTTTGGTGGAGAGTGGAGTGTACCGCTCCCAAAGCGTGTAGCCATGTTCGACCCATGATCACGTTGTAAGGGGAGTCCGTGTCGATCACCACAAACTCTGTGTCGATGACGAAGGGACCAGTGGCGACCGGTAATGTAATTTTCCCCACGGGCAAGGCGAAAGAGCCGTTGAACCCGATGAGGGGTGTCCTGATTTTGGTCAAGTCTTGGGGGCCAAAACCCATCCGCTTCAAAGTCTCGAAGTACATCACCTCCGAGGAACTCCCTGAATCAATCAAGATTCTCTTGACATCGAATTTCCCTATCTTCAGGGTTAAGACAAGGGCGTCGTTATGAGGAATCACCACGCCCGTCAAATCCGCGTCAGAGAACATAATGCCAAGCTCACCCATCCTGGCCCTTTTGCTTGATGGGCCCACACCTCCTTCGGCTACCTTTCTGGTAAAAGCTACCCTCTTGAGGTCGGATTCGAGCTCTTTGGACGTGGGGCGCTCCAGTGGACACACATGGATGACGTCTATGACGTTGTTTGGTTCCTCGGTCGGGGCAGGGGCTCGTTTTTCTTCTGGCCTAGGCTCTATGTATTCTTTCAGGTATCCATCTCGGACTAAGTTCTCCAAGAATGACTTGAACACCCTGCAGCTCTCGGTGCGATGCCCGACCTCCCGGTGATAAGAACACCTTACTGTTTGATCACGGGTGGAGGGGTCGCTTTGCATCCTGGGCGGCCATTTGAAGAACGGCTCGCGTTTGATTTTATGGAGCAACCTGAAAATGGGTTCCTTGAAGACGGTGTGAACTCCTCTGGACGAACCCCCTGGACGGGGTAGCAATCCCTTCCGGGGAATATCTTCGTGCTCTCTTTCCTTTCTCTTGGGTTGGGGGGCTCGGCCTTTGTTGCTCCCCATCTCGTCCTCGACCCTTGAGTACTTGTTGATCCGGGCCATCAGTTCCCCCATATCCGAGGGAGTCTTTTTGGTCAGGGATCGGTACAGGTCCGTGTCCCTTGCCAAGCCGAGCCGGAATGATGCTGCTGCCATGACCTCCGAGCATCCCTCGACCTCATTGACTTCTTCCCAGTATCGGATGGCGTACTGGCGAAGAGTCTCGGATTCCCTCCTCCTGAGGGTCAGCAGCGATCCAATGTCCTTTGGGCGCTTACTCCCCGTGATGAATCGGGTTAGGAACTGCCTTGTCAATTCTTTCCAGGACCCAATACTGTTTGGGGGAAGCGCCTCGAACCACCTCATCGCGGAGTCCCCCAAGCTCATAGGGAACACCCGGCATAGAAACCGTTGGTCCGAATGATAGAGGGACATCATCTGCTTATACTGTCTGATATGGGCATCGGGATCAGATCGCCCATCATAGGTCTTGAACCGTGGCACGACGAACTTTCTTGAGACGTCCATCTCACTGATTTCCCTTGTGAAGGGTGTTTGCATGACTTCATCCTCGGCCTCGTCCTGGATTGTCTTGCCCTTTCTCCTAGAGTCCAATCGGGCTCTGAGATCTACTTCTTCCCTTACGGGATGCCTCCTGAAGTCTCTGGGTTCGTCGGTAAGCCCCTCGTTTCTTGGGCGTCGTGTAGATTGGGTTGAGTCCTCCTCGGATTCATCTCCCTTCCTCCGTCTGGATAAACCTCGCCGGAGGTCGTCCAGGGCCAAGGGCCTTGCTTTCCTGGACTGGTTGTCAAGGTGACATTCGCCGGCTTTGGGTCGCTTCGGGGCCCTGGAGCTTTCTGCTTTGTGATCCAGGTGGTTCCTTAGATCCTTCGTCTCCGCCTCATGGACGGGGAGTCCTCGGGAGAGGAATGAATCCCTCGACCCTCCGCCTGAGGCAGCAAACTCGTCGAGCCGGCTAAGGACGTTTACATTGTCCTTCTCCAGCTGACGTAATCTATCGCCAAATTTCTCTTCAATCACCTCTGCCAGCTGACGGGCCAAGGGGGCTGATCCTCCTGACCTGATACCCATACTGGTTTGAGGGGTTACCCCCCTTGACCGAGTAGAGGCACTTTTAATCGTACTGGTGCGATCCCTCCCTCCGTGATGGCAGGGAGCTTGCAACTCATGACTCCGTTGATGGGGTCCCTTCCCTTTCTGTCTGGTGTTCACCATGGTCACTGTTCTTTTATAGAGAAAAGATTAGGAAAACTACTCGTTTCCCACAGACGGCGCCAGATTGTGCGGGCTCGATCCTGCACGATATATATAAAATATTGGGAACAGATCTCTCCCCTGGTGAACTTTGGGTGAGCCGGTTGAGTAGCCAAACAAGCTGCTTGAAACAGCCTACAAGGTACGGTGGCAACCGGAAACGGCAAAGGGTGATCCTGGGAAAGGAGGAACGATCCTGTACGTGTGAAAGGTATTTCCTGGAACAAAGGAGAACAAGTTAGAAGGGCGCCGGAGTGTTTTCCGGCGTATCCCCTCCGACGGTCTAGTCAGTCTTTGAATGAGAGAGAGGAAGGAGAAAACACTGAGAAGGATATTTTGTAGTTTAGAGTTTTTGATTGCATACCCGCTTTGTCTTTTGGGAGGGGTATTTATACCTTAGAAGATCATGATTGCTGTCAGTGTGGTCAGTAGGTAATCATCAGGCACAGGTAGCGTGTGTAATCATTTGATGAGGAATGTCTTCTCTAATTGATTGCTCGGGGTCCCGAACAATCAATGCTGAGTCTGTCGGGACGCCGACGGTACAATATGCTCCTGTCAGGAAGGATGCAATAAATGCTCTGTAATAGGAGCATTTATTGCCTTTCATATCCGAACCTTACCGCATTGAATGCGGTCTCGTCAACAGAAGGGTGCAATTAATTGTTTGCTTTCCCAAGTCGCGTGTCAGCAGCGGCATGCGGTTTGTCTGCTTCGGATGTGACATTATTTGCCACGCGTCCATCCCTTATTGGCTGTTACGCCGGTATTCCAGCACGTTCTGACATTACTTGTGTAAGAGGAGGTCATGATGAATAATCCATACTGGCATAGGCTGATGTCCAGTATGTCAGCAGCTTTATCCGGGAGTAGAGGAAGCGTCCAGGATGGAGTGACCCTCGGCGCCGAGGAAAGGCTCACCTCGGGGACCAAGGGTGTGTGTCCCCGAGGTACACGTCTGACCGAGGACACGTGTTTGTTTTTGTATAATATACCGAATGTGTGATCCTATGAGAGGTACCTCGGGGGTAAAGGGCGCTCTTCGCCGATGGTGCTTACATCCGGGCAACACTGTTCCAAAATATCCCGAGGGCACGTGTCATCATCTTAGGGCTTCTCAGAAGAGTCCCATCACATAGGATCCCCTCCTACTGAATCAGTGGACACGTCTACAGCAGCATAACATGTAAGAAGCTATCGATCTCTTAAAGTTGTTCCCACCATCCTATTCAGATTCCACAGCTTAACCATGGACCACTGAACCAGAAGCATACATAGATTTACGCCACTATATGCATGAATGTAGCAGAACTACTGAATGGTTTAATTTGGTTCCCCTACCCTAGGGACATTTCCAGGAATTGGAAATTCTTCTGCAATGCAGTGACACTAACAAACGGAAACCGCTGCAGCAAATTTCCACTGATTTCCCTAGCTTCTTTTCACCATTTTCTTATCAATGACAAATTTTGGAGGTAATAAAAGCAACAATGGTGGACTTGACCATGTGGTTCTCATCAAAGCAGAAAGAAGCACAATAGACTGCCTCAAATTCATCAACAAAAAAATAACCATTGTAAATGGCATCATAAACATACCCCTTCCCCTTCTCTCACTCCCCCTCCCAAAAAAATAAATAAATAAATAAATAAATAAAAATAAATAATAAAAATAAAAATATTACTGAAATTAGCAGTAGCTTATGCGCAAAAACACAGTTAACGAACTTATCAATCAACAGCATACATCAAGGGCAAAAAATGGCCAAACACGACAACCAATTCAAAATTTTCGGGACACTTCTTTCTCCTTTCGAACAAACATCATGTAACTAAAACCTCCAACATATTGAGACTCCGTCACAAAACAAATTGCCCAATCTAATTATATGCTTACAAATTCAACATTTAGAAAATAAAACCTCCAATTGCTGAATTTGGATAATCAATTGATGATCAAGTGCACAAAAATCATAAGGCAGTAAATTTTGGGTCTTGATAATCCTACCTGGACTGGGAGTTTGCTATGCTGGCCGTTTCATTTTCTTGAGTTGAGCTTCCATAAACATATTCATCCATCGACCCTCAAGCTTCCATGAACTTTATTCTCTGCTTCTCCAATTAATCATCTGCTGCGGCATTGAACCGTCAATCCGATAATATATCTAGCTTATTTCTTTAATGATTTGTTCTTGTTCTCATATCAAGCTGCATTTCTTGTCTCCACATCTCGTGCATTTTTGAACAGGCCTCTCAGTTTGAGGTGTGTCTACCAAGGGGTATAATGGTCCCATCATCGACTAAATCTAAGGATTCAATTCCTGAACCACTTATTCATTGAAGATAATTGTACTCTGCAATGTTCCTCTTTTTTTCTAGAAAAAAAAAAATCTTTTCATCTCTCTTATTAGAAAATTCATGACCAAAACTTATAACAACCAGATATTCAGCAGCTTCATCACAAAATTTCAACAAACAACAAGAAGAATTTAAAAAAAAATGTTTTGGTTTCCTAAACCTCAACCTATGATGTTAATAATTAGGCAACAATAAAAGATGAACTCAATAAAAATCAAACCAACAAGATGGTAGTTAATTATTCATATGTAAGTCATAAAAATCCTTCAATCTGTAGCCCATTGCCAGCCCCATTTTTCTCATCTCCTCCAATACAAACTTAGCATCATCAAACCTTCTCAAATTAATCAATCGATTAGCCAAAAGCCCAAAATTCTCTGTATCTAACCCCTTATCCCTCCCACCATAGCTCATCACAAGCTCCACCGCCTGCGCATAATGACCCAACTTCAGCAGACTCCCAATAACGTGTGCATGAGTGGAATACAACGCCGGCACTCCATCAATCACCATTCTCCTCAGCACCACCAATGCCCCCTCCACCTTGTCCGCCCTACACGCTCCCAGAACCAGCGCGTCATACGTCCTCGTATCTGCCTCCATTCCCTCCTCCACCATTCTCGTCAGTACTCTGGCCGCTGACATCACGTCTCCGGCGAAACAATAAGCGGTCAGCAGATAATTATAAGCCGTCACATCAGGTGTAATCCCATTCTCTCTGATCAACTCCATCACGCGCCATGCTTCGTCCATTCTCTTTTGCCTCGTGAGGGCGTTGAGAATGGGATGAAACGTACACGCATTAGCGCCATAGTCATTCTTGACCATAATGTCCGCCAATCGCAGGGCTTCATCCGTTCTCTGCAACTTGGAGAGACGACCGACGAGAGAGTCGTGCGCGCTCTTCCTGGGAAACCCTCTATCGAGAAGAGAGAGGGATTGCAAAAGGTCGTCGAGTACGGACAGGTCGGTGGAGATGAACTTGAAGGTTTTGGTGGTGTTGAAACAACCGTCTCTTACGCGCTTGTTGAGGAGGTGGCGGACGGCGGCGAAGTCTCTTTCACGGCCGGCGGCATTGATGAGGTCGTCGTAGTCGGAGGAATTGGGTTGGTCTGGAAATGGGTGAGGACTTTGGGTGGTGAGGAAGCGAGAGGTATTGCAAAGAAGTGTGGCTGATTTGGGGGTTTTGTGGGTGAATTGACGAAAGATTAACATGGTTTAAGGTTTAGCAGAGTGAGTGAGTGAGGAGAGAGAAATGGTACAAGGTGTTGTTGATTTAGAGCTGTTTTATGGGCTTAGGCCCAATTTGAGTTTGTTTCTGAAATTAAGGTCGGTTTGCGTGGGCTATGGATTTGTATTGCTATACCATTTGTGAGGAATTGGTCCATCTTGTAGATTTATTTGGTGAAAAGTTTATTAATATAATTTATTTAATATTAAATTTACTTTAATCTTCACTGTCTAAAATACACTCATTAATTATATTTAATTACAACAAATTTGAAACTAACAACTATTAAATTTTAAAAGTTTGACTAATATTAAAATTCTTTCTCTCTCATATCTATCTATATCCATATATAAAATATGACTATTTATTTCTTTAATATTAAATCTCTCTCATATCTATCTATATCCATATATAGAATATGACTATTTATTTCTTTCTTCCCATATATATATAGTAATATTAAAAATAAAAAATGGTAACATTCAAACATAAAAAGTAGTACCACTTAAACACAAAAAATTAATAACTTTCAAAAATAAAAAATAATAACATTGAATATTAATATTTGAAAAAAATAACAGTAGTAATAAAATGGTCAACAAAAAAAGTAATATTGAATATTGATATTTCGAAAAATAGTAATATTCGATATTAATAGTAACATATTTCATACTCAACAAAAAATAGTAACATACATAACAAAAAAATAGTAACATAGAAAAGAATAGTAACATGTATAGAAATATTCAATATTAAATTAATCATAATCTTCTCAGCCAAAAAAAAAAAATGTGAGAGAGAAAGAAAGATAAATGGTAGTGATGTCAAATTTAAATTTTATGAAAAAAAATATTTCATTAAGTATTAATCAAGAATAACTGTTTAAGAAACTGATTTAATGTTGAGGATTATTTTTTAAGTCATCAGAAGGGCATTTTGGAGTTTTATAAAAATAATGAATTTAACTATTTATTAATAATATTAAAAATAGACTTACCCCCAAATAAATTTACTTGAGTGACTAAACTCGTTATAAGTCCTTAAGAAGAACTTCATCCCAATATTCACACAAAAATATGTCAATTTCGTCTTTTGTTCACCACTAAATTAACGGAATTGAGCAGCTACAACAGTGACTCAAATAAAAGGATAAAACTAAGATACCTAGACAAAATTTTGTAATAAAAACAATTCTTGGTTGTTTATTTTGATTTGAGATAATTACTATAAAATAAAAGAATACATAAATTTTTTTACTTGTTATCTTGTGATTAGATACAAAATTATAGAAGAACAAAAAAAAATTAATTTTAGTACAAAAGTCTAACCCATATCAACATATGTCCACTGAATCTAATCTAAAGAATTTAAGACTTTGAAGCTAATTTGGCAGCTTAACACTATCCCAAAAGTTAAGCATTTCTGGTGGAATGTGATTACTAACGCCCTGACTACCAAGAAAATCTATTTAGACGAAGATGTGTGACCTCCCCATTGTGCAAGATCTACAACACAGATATTGAGACTGTGGAACACCTTCTCTTTTCCTACGATTGGACCTATAGGGTGTGGTTTGATAGGGTGTGGAGTCCAAACAAGTTGTGGTAATTTTGAGCAAAGTGGCCTTCGTTGGGTGGACCATCTGGAAAATGAGGAATGAAGTCATCTTTCATCACCAGCCGCCAAATCCTTTGTATGCCATTAATAGGGTCATTATGGGGTGGAGAGACATGGGTTATCCAGGATCGTGCAGGTCTAGGAGCCAACCAAATTCGGACGTTCAGATTTCATCATAGGTCCCTCACTGGCTTCCCGCACCCCAAAATTTGGTCAAATTCAACTGTGACGGTGCATATAACCCAAGCAGGTCCATAGCTTTCAGCTGAAGTCGTGTGTAGGGATGCTGATGAGGTTCTCATTGATGGGGTTTCCTTAACATATTGCAGCCGTATCCAGTCTGTTTTCTGAAGCTACTGCAGCCCGTGAAGCATGCCTCATGGCTCTCTCTCTGAATCTTCATAGTGCTACAATTGAAAGTGACAACCAGTCCCTCATTTTGCTGTGCGCCGGAGAAGATGATCCCCTATGGAAAATAGCTGTCTTTATAGTAGATATCAAGTACGCTGCTACGGTATTAAATCTTAATTTCAAATACGGGCCTCGAGTCACCAATACGGTGGCTCACTGGGTGGCCAAGGCTAGACTTCTACATCCCTTACCTCACGACTGGGTGGTGAATCCTCCACTTGAGCGTAGGGACTTGCTTATTTTAGATTGTATTCAGTCTTTCGTTAGTTAAATGATATTTTCCTTTGTTGATCCAAAAAAAAAATAGAGGTCAACACACAGTGAGTATGGGGTAACCAGTTAGACATGTGATGTACATCCGTAAACTAAAACAACACACACAAGAATTGGCATAAAGACCGATTCCACAAGTTTCAATTCCGAATCCATTCACAGGCACCCATCTCAGAATCAATCCATAATAACAAGGATCTACGTGTATTCTAGCTAGCTTAAACAACTACCATGAAGTTACTATATTCGAACTAATGATCAATTCTGAGGATACTGCTTGAACTTCATGGATGTTACCTTGTCTCTAATTGTTTGTACAATTATCTCGAGTATGGAGTTGGGATCCGTGGACTGATTCTGGTGAAGTCTGTCGTCCTCCCCCCTCCATATAAAGTACATAGTGACAGAGAGACAGTTTTTGTAGCACTCATCGTAGGCCTTTTCCTTCCAGTTTAATGAAGCAAAGTTAATCAATTCATTCCATGAATTTAGACGCGTGGGCTATTCACACATCTGCTTCAACTTCAAACAAATTCTTTGAGAGAAATGACTATCAAAAAACAGGTGTTGATGAGATTTAGTGCCTACCTACATAGGATCCATTCCCCCTAATGTTTATTGCAAAGACTTGCACCCTATCTTTGGTACTTAGTCTTTGCCTTACACCCAACCACAAAATGAAGCTCAAGTGGTAAGAAATACCAATCAATGAAGTCATATCCTTTATGTACCAAAAATAAAGAAGTCATATCCTTTCATAATATCCACCTTAATAGTGCAACTTGGGCTCCCCTTGCTTCTATCATAGTCTCTTAACAAACCTCGAGTAAGGAGAATGTTATCATCTATCTTTCTTCCTGGTATAAAAGTAGTCAAATTAGGGCTTACAATCTCTGGAAATAGAACCTTTATTCTGTTAGCATTAATCTTAGAATAGCTTTGTCGAAGAGGTTGCAACAAGATATGAACCTAAAGTCACTCATTGTAGATGGATTAGGGACTTTATTAGGCACGGGGGTAATTATTGTGGAGTTAAGTTCCTCGACTAAGCATTTCAAATCCTTTATATTGTTGCACCTACCTGCCTTCTAATAATAGGCTATGCTTTTTTGAAAACGAAAGCATAGCATTATATCCATCTGGGCCTGGAGACTCCATATCATTAAAGGAGAATAAAACTATTTTTACCCTCTTCCTCTTCAATCTCTCTGATCATGAAGCTGGCTTGCTGATCTGTGATACATTTGATGTCAGCTAAATTCAGAAATTGCCTTCTTTCTAGTCTAGTAGTATTAATACTTTTTTTACCAAGAAGTCTGGTGAAATAATTGACAACTTCCACCTTTATATCTTCTACCATTTCTACTGGAATACCCTCTGCTGTTTGTCATGGTTTTAAACAAGAAAAAGGTATTCTTGGTTCCCTTCTTTGAACCATCTAATCCTTGAGTTTTGTTTATAAAAGATCTCCTCATCCCTTGCTGCTTCCTTTTAGACTTTAGAGTTAGGAAACACAGATACTTTATCGAGATTGATGTACCCGTATCAGATACTATATATATGATACTCGTTGGATACTCAAGGATACGTATCAGATACACTTTCTACATATTAGATAATAATTAAATATTAACATACTTCACAGATACTTTTATAGTCGAGTAACATATAATTTTTTAGTTGAACTTTTAACATCTCTTTTCGAATTTACATACCATACAATACATAACAAAAAATTCATATTACTTCAAAGACACATGAGTGTTTTTTAAGTATTATCTACAATTATATGTCAAAAGAGTATAAAATAAAACTATTACATTATAACCTTAGCAAAAATTACTTCTAAATACTAAATAAATATTAGCTTGATTCTTTTAATTAGTCACTTCACTTTGTAAATATACCACAGCGACACGATATATATTTTCTTGAAACTAAAAAGAATTACTAATTTTTTTTATTATATGTTAAAGAATTATCAAAATGTATAAGTATTAAGTTGGTTAAAAATAATAAAAATATTAAATATATTTTATTATAGACGTATCTTGGTCATACATTTATCCTATTTTTTTAGATTTTGTCATATTACCGTATCCGTATCGTATCGTACTCGTATTCCGTAAATGTTATATCCAAGATCCAACGGGGTAATAAGTTGAATCTAAAGAAGATTAGAAATCCCAACAAGACTAATGAAAGATAAATAAGTCTGCTCATCAAAATTGTTAAACATGACTAACTAAAATCTTCGGATTGACTTTCGTGTTATTTGACAACTGTGATGTTAGACTAGACAAATATTTGAATCAAAGTAGTGGCTCAAAGTAATGTGTGAACTCTTTGGGCCCCGGGATCAATTATACTTTGATTGGGTATTTGAATTTTGTCACATCATTTGGGCTATATATGTGATCTAAATATTTGTTTAGTTTAGAATTTCTGATTTGTCAAAGTTGGGGAATGATTTGGCTTTTCGCATAACTCAGGGTCTGTCAGTGTAATTTATCATAAACTTTTAACGTCTTATGATTAAAATAAAATCACGTAACTTTCATGTGATCTTAAACTAATGAACAATTAACACTGTTTTAACTGTAACACAAAAAAGGCACTAGAACTCTTTTATCTTTTAAATGGATCCTTTGTTGAATCACTTTCATGGTTCTGCCATTGCAGG